GAGAAAGGATTTATTACTATAGAATTTTGTGCTACTGATAAGTAGATTGCTGACATCTTTACTAAAGCACTGAGTAGAGAAAGCTTTGAAAGGAACACGATAGAATTAGGGATGATTAAGATCACCTAATGGGACCAGCTCAGAATGCACAATGAAAAAAAAATGAAAAAAATAAAATAAAATTTTTTGGCTAGGAAATTTGGAACTTGTGTAAATATCTAGATTAATTTTTACTCAGTTTTATACTGTAAATAATATACTCCCGTGACATGTGTTGATATGACTCACTGATCTTTAACAAATTTCTCTATTTTGGAAAATAGAGGCATGATCAAGAAGATTCTAAATGAAGAACCTGGTTCATCAGTATTGGGTCATCTGAATAACGAGGTATGTTCTCTATACTCTGCACAATTAGAAATACAAATATTTAAAATCATGAGCAGAGTCCTACCTATGTTCAAAAATGTTAGAAAATCCTATCCGTTAATTTTTTTGAACCAGTTCCGTCTCTAATAGAATCCTCACCACATAAAACGCCTAGAATCTAGGGAAGCCTAACCGCTTTTTCAACCTGAAATTTCGGGTTGATTGGACTTCTAATTGACTCCAAAAAATTGTTGTTAGTCATTAATTAGGCCTCTCTATTTAAAAACCCATCATCACAAACACTGCCACTCTCATAATTCTCTCAACCGTCGAATTTCTTCTTTCACTCTCAAATTGCTCTCTCTTCCAAAAACCAAACTCACAAATTCTCTCACGAAATCAGTCACAGTGTCTAACCCCCAAGATAACCCAGGCACTCCTCCACAACCTACCCCCTCTGATTCATCCACCCCTCCTCCACCCAGCATAACTCTTCAACCCAGGCGAAGGCGAGTAAAAATGCTTGCTCACAAAACGGTGGCAACTGGTGCTCTTTCAAATAAATTGAACGAGAAATTAAAGGCAAGCCAAGCCCAAGATTCAGAGAACTCAGACGATTCGTTCAAATCTGCGAGTGAGGGGGAAAGAACTGGGTCTTCTGACTCTGAGAAGGCTCAAAATTTCCCTTCTGAGGTACGTTCTGTTTTGGTTGAGAATGTAGACAATAGGTTTGTTCTGGTTGGTTCTGTTAGGAATGTGGAATTGCCTGAGTCAAGAAGGAGAGGTGGTAAAAATAAAGGTGAAAAAGAAAAAGAGAATGAGGGTCTGCGTAGTAGTGTGAGGGGAAAAGGGAAAGAATTAGTGGTTCTTCACCCACTTCTGAATTGGTGATACCAGCTATAATGGGGTTGATCGTGCAACTAAGGAAGAAAGTAGCAAGAAGACAGGGGGAAGTGGCTTAGGGGAGGCTGCTGAAGGGTTGGTTAATCTTAGTTCACAGGCAGATGAACCTGGTTCATCTATTGAGGAGACCCTAGTAGACCTTCTGAAGAAAGTGGATGCTAGCTATGATCCAAAGAAAAGGAGAAACCCAACACCAAAAGCCCCCAGCACTGCCAAACCTTCCAAGAAAAGAAAGACTTCTTCTCCAACAACTGCTGAAATTCCCTTTCCAAAGGGGAGATCCACAAGAAGTATGGTGAAACAGAGTGAGAGTGAATTACAAAAGGCTTTGGCCAAAAGCAAGAAGAAGAAGATGGATAAAGGAAAAGCTAAGGTTGTAGAGCCTTCTGAGGCTGTTGATGTTGAGGAGATGGAACAGGTCTATCATGAGGAACATACAACTGTGGAGGTTCAGATCCCCAAGCCTAAAAAGACTCCTCATACAACTGTGGAGGTTTAGACCCCCAAGCCTAAAAAGACCAGGACTTCTTCCAAGAAGTCTTCATCAGGGTCTAAGGCTGTTGAACCTTTATTGGCCAAGAGGACAAGGTCTGTAGTGAAAAACAAACCAGTTAGCATTGCTGAGGATGAAGAATGGAGTGGTGAAGACGAGAATGAGTCTGATGGTGAACAAGACAAGCTGGCCAAGTTTGGCAAAAGAAAAATTTTGAAGGGTAGATTGCTGAAAGGCTTGGTGGAACTAGGAATGGTTCGATTGGTTGATGCACTAGTTGTTCAGGGCTGGAAGGACATGGTCCTTTAGATGGATGGAAGGCTAGCCAGGAATGAAATCATTGAATTCATGGCCAATGCAGAGGTCAAGAATGGCAGAGTTACCAGCCAAGTGAAAGGGGTTCAAGTGACCTTCGATGCAGAGAAGCTGGGTGAGATTCTTGACATTCCTGCTGAGGGATATGATGACTATACTAGGCAAAGATGGCCAAGTCTGGATTCCCTTCCTCCTGCCCTTGAAATTACTAGGAGATTCTGTGATGTTGAAGAAGTGAATGAGGCCAAGTTTGTGCACAAGAGTGAAATGAAGCCACAACACAAAGTCCTATTTGAATTTGTCAACAAGTGCTTACTGCCTAGGCAGGAGAGAAGGCACATTGCTAACTATATGGACTTAGTTCTGATGGAGTGTCTCGAAAGTGGAAGACAAATCAACTGGCATGCATTCATCATCAAGCTACTGGACAGGGTTATCAATGGCTCCAAGGCCCATGCTACTCCTTATGGGTTTATTCTGACTACTGTGCTCGATCGCTGTAAGGTGCCACTAAGGAAGTGGGAAATGGCCACAAGCAAGGATCACTTTGGAATTAACACTTTGATTGCTTGTGACTATGAGGTCACTGCCATTCCTAATGAACCTGGTTTATCCAAGAAGACACCTATTAATAGCAAAGTCAGAGCTCTAGTGCAGGAGAGTGGGGCAAAGGATGCTGAGATAGCTAGGCTGAAGGCTCGCTTAGCAGAGGTTGAATCTGAGAGGGATGCTCTCAGAACTGAGATCACCAAGGAAAAGGAGAAGAATGAGGGCATTCTTCAAAATATGCTGAACCTTCTCCAAGCCCAAAACCAGCCCTCTAGCTCTTCCAAGCCTTAGAACTTCTAGCCTTCATCTCCTGAACCTGTCTAGTACCACCAGTGACCCAGATTAGGGATTTCTCTTTCTTTTGCTCATGTTTTGAATATTTTTGCTTTCTTTTTGTGGATTGTGGTAGCAACATATCTCCTATCAATGAAATCTACTGTTTTTGCTCTTGTTGATTGTTAATATTTCCTTGATAGTTTGAATGTGTTTGCTTGATTACTGATGAATAATCCATGATTGCACTTGCAGTTGCCCAAGTGGCCATGAGTAATTGTTAAAATTCTGGGAATCACACTTTGTTTATTCAACTTTTCGATGATGCCAAAAGGGAGAAGAGATATTATGCTTTATATATTCTGAATAAGTGATATTTATAACCTAATGAACCTGGTCCTTGATGATAAGTAAATTTTTCTAACTTTGTATTGATGAATAAGCTGAGTTCTGACAGGGCCTAAGTGAGTGAAAGCACAGAGTTTGTCATCATCAAAAAGGGAGAATTTGTTGGCCCAAGTAAAGGTGAAGTTTTGAAGACTGACAAAGGAACTTAGACATGGACCAGGTCCATCTTGTGAAGTGATGTTATAATCAACTCAAACATGTGAGATGCACATGAAGGAGATAAACCTAACTTATCAGAAGTAATATATCCTGATCATGATCGAAAAGGTTGCATATTGGATAAGGAGAAAGACTCCTTACACAAAGAGAAACACGGCTTAAGAAATGGATAGAGTTAGAGGATGAGATCAACTAGAACTCTTCCACCAAGGAAGAGTAGCATCTGTATTCTAGTCAATCTCTTTTTACTAACTCCATAAATATCAGTGTTGTTCTCTTTTACAGGTAATGCACATAAGCAGAAGTTAAACGTGAATTGAGAGCAAAATAGCAAGGCAATTTTGCAAGCAATTCGTGTGTGATTCAAGCGTGCAAACCTGAAGCTACTTGAACCAGATAGAAGAACCAGTTCCAAGTGTCTATCTTTTATTCTAGTTCAATTGTAGTTGGTGGTTTTACATTGTACTTTTCAGCTTATCTAGAAGCAATTGTATTAGGTACTTAGAGTTTTCAAGTTAGAGTTAACTTGAAGTTGTCGCAACAGTTGAGGTTGTGTGCCACAACGAGATTAGAGTTAATCCTAGGTTTACAAAAGAGTTTTTGTAAATGCAGTTTTTGGCTCAGTGATTTTAGTGGAGAGTTTGGGAAAATCCTACTTGAAGGTAGGTCGTGGTTTTTTCACCTTTTGAGCCTGGTATTTTCCACGTAAAAATCTCTGTGTTCTTTAATTTCTGTATTTATTATTCCGCAACAGTAGTAGTTGGAACACATAGAAGAACCAGGTCCTTCTATAATCAAGTTAAGCGAAAATTGGGTATCACACAAATCACCCCCCCCCCCTCTTGTGTGTTATTGAAGTATAAAACATCAATACTTCACATACTGTTGAACGAGGACGGGGGCAGAACAATTGTGCAGGGTGAGTTGGAACACTCCAAGAGTCTGCGTGATTTTGGCTATTGCTCTGCGTGATTTTGGCTATTGCTCTGCGTGATTTTGGCTATTGTAGGCGTATTAAGGTCGAAGAGGTTATGGGAGCGATGCGTAAGATGAGCAGGGGAAGAGTGACTGGGTCCGACGAGATCCTGGTAGAATTCTGGAAGAGTGCATGTCGTGCAGGCGTGGAGTGACTTACTGGGTTGTTTAATGTTATCTTTAAGACGGAGAAGATGCCCCAAGAATGGAGGTGGAGTACGATGATTCCCTTGTACAAGAACAAAGATGATATTGTAAACTGCAATAACTATAGGGGTATCAAGCTGATAAATCATACTATGAAAATTTGGAAGAGGATAGTAGAAGTCAGGGTGAGGAAGAGTGTGTCTATTTTCGAGAATCAGTTTGGATTCATGCCGGGGTGATCGACTACGGAAGTCATTCATCTGGTGAGGAGATTCGTATAGCAGTATAGGGAGAGAAAGAAGGACCTACACATGGTGTTTATAGATATTCGGAGGTTAGCGGCGTTCCGGTAGCTTACACTAGGGTAATCAAGGACATGTATGATGGTGCTAAGACTCGGGTGAGGACAATGGGAGGTGACTCAGATCACTTCCTAGTAGTGATGGGGTTGCATCAGGAATCGGCTCTTAGCCCGTTCTTATTTGCTCCGGCGATGGATGTGCTTACGCAACACATTCAAGGGGAGGTACCATGGTGCATGTTATTTGCCGATGACACAGTGTTGATTGATGAGACAAGAAGCGGGGTCAATGCGAGGCTGGAAGTCTGGAGGCAGACCCTAGAGTCTAAAGGTTTCAAGTTGAGTAGGACCAAAACGGAATATTTGGAGTGTAAGTTTAGTAACGATACCCAAGTCATCCCGAGGAGGGGTGGTTTCAAGTATCTCGGGTCTATAATCCATGGTAACGGGGAGATTGATGATGAGGTCTCTCACCGTATCGGTGCGGGATGAATGAACCGGAGGCTCGCATCTGGTGTTTTGTGTTAAGAAGGTGCCACCAAGACTTAAGGGTAAGTTCTACAGAGTGGTGGTTAAACCTACTATGTTGTATGGGGCTGAGTGTTGGCCAGTCAAGAACTCCCATGTTTAGAGGATGAAAGTAGCATAAATGAGGATGCTGAGATTGATGTGTGGACGTACCAGGAGAGATAAGATTAGGAACGAAGTTATTCCGAATAAAGTGAGAGTGGCCCCCGTGGAGTACAAGATGCGGGTGTTGAGGCTGAGATGGTTCGGGCACGTGCAGAGGAGGAGTACAGATGCTCCTGTTAGGAGGTGTGGGAGGCTGGCCGTGACGTGGCTGAGAAGGGGTAGAGAAAAACCGAAGAAGTATTGGAGAGAGGTGATTAGGAGTGATATGACGCTACTTCATCTCACTAAGGACATGATCCAGGATTGAAGGGTGTGGAGGTCGAAGATTAGGGTAGTTGGCTAGTAGGTAGTCGAGAGTTTCCCGTTCTTTTTTAGTAGTATTAGTAGCTCCCCTATTTTTTTCGTATTCTTTGACCCATAGTATTTGCTTATTGTTTCGTTCGCTCTATGTATCATATTTTTCAGTTTGTTATTATTTGATGCTATTTTTTATTTTACTTGTTGTATCGTTGTTGTTGTTTTTGTATTGTTGTTACTGTAGTTGTCTTTTTTCCCCTTTTCTTATCGTCCTTTGTCCCCCTATTCTTTCTTTCTTCTTCCTCTTTCTTCTTTGTCTTCTTCCTTTCTCTCTTTTTCACCTTTTCTTGAGCCAATGGTCTATCGGAAACAGCCTCTCCACCTCGCCAGATAGGGGTAAGGTCTGCGTAAACACTACCCTCCCCAAACCCCATTTGTGGGATTATACTGGGTATGTTATTGTTGTTGTTTCGTCATCTTCTAAAATCAGCTTATCGTGAAAAGTATTTTTTTCACAAGTACTTTAGGAAAAATATTTTTTGTGACAAATAGTTTTTATTTTGTTAATCAATTTGAAAGTATTTTTGAGCAGCAACTAGATTGTGATCAAGCTTTTCAAAAGTAATTTCAAGTGTATTTTCTCAAAAATAATTTTCCAACAAATATTTTTGGAGAGAAACTATTTTATAGTTTCTCAAAAACAGCTTCTGTATTTTTGCACGAATCTAAATTAATCGAATTTTAATATCATACAAAACACCGAATGAAAAATTAAAGAGATTCATGGACCCAACACTTTTGTTTGATTTCATTGTTTTACTAGGAAGGGGGGAAAATAAAGCTGGATAGGTGATGATAGAGGATGAAGAGATGCTTCAATTCCTAGCACTCTCTTTTCCTTTTCAGAAGGAGGGGACTGTGGGCTCAGCCTCAGTCAGAAAGTGTACAGATAGATTAGAGGGGAAGATCTCCCTCAATTTTACAATTGCTTTGACTTGTCTACATCATTTTTTCCTCCCTTTCCAAAATACCCTCCCTCTTTCCAATAACAACAAGATGCTACTACCCTATTTTATTAAAAAAAAATTACTACATGTATTTCATTTTATATTTCAGTATTTGATTTTAATTAATATACTTAAGGTTAAATTATGTACAATATTTCTATATTTATAAGAGAATTTCCTTTATGAGTAAGCTGAAATGTTAAATAGCAATTTTCCTTTGTAGGTGCACTAATAGGGTAATTAAAAACTTTGTTTATATAGCAAAACCGTGTTTGATCTTATTAAGATTTTTAGTTTGCAGACTGACAGTGTATAAAAAAAAAATTATCCATTAAGTTTAGTCGCCTTACAATAATAACCTATTAAGTTACACTAAGTGCAAAAATATCTTTACACTATTAATTATATAATTTAAATTCTTATTTAGAACTCAACAAATTAAATTGAATTGAACAAATATAAATCAACGTTATTACAAAATGACCATATCTCAACTACTCAATATGTCTTTTATTTATTTTTACCATCAAAGAGTATTGTGAGATAGATGACATATCTAGATGTTTCTAACTTGAGCTTTGTGAACTAAAAAAATTCTTAACCCTATTTTGCTTAATATAAAAATATTACTTTTGGTAGACATTGACATAATACCAAAAGTAACAAATAAAATAAAATAAAATAAAAGAAAAAGTTGCTATTTTGAAAAGTGTGAAAGGGTTGTGAATAAGGAGGAAAGGGAAGGGTAAAAGAAGAGAAAAAGGAAGTAGGGGAGATAAAGGTGAGTTGGTGCGTACTTTGGTGTAATCAGAAAAGAGGAGTAATAGGACAGTAGAAGGCAGAGAGGGGGGTAGGGAAGGGGAAAACACAGATGTAACGTATCACTGACAAATGCATAGAGAAGAAGAGGCGGGGCTGGTGGCAGTCCAAGTCCTGTCATTTTCAACCTTCGTCTCCTTGTGCCGTGAAACCCGGACTACAGTCCCTGTCACTCTCCCCCTTTTTAACTCCTTTACCCCACCCCACCTCCCCCCCAACCACCACCTCAAGTTACCCAACACCATATTTTTTTTAAAAAAAAGAAAAGAGTACGTAGTACACTAATTTTTGAATTTCTATAAAATTTATTTAACTAAGAAAAATCTGTTTTATGTCTCTACAAATGTAGTCTTTTTCCAATTTTTCTTCATTTTGGCATCCTGATTAGTTGAAATTTACGATGGGTATAAATGCTATTTTAGTTATGTGGTACTGTTTACCTCGAAAGTACGGGTAACAATTAAATTTGATTTGTGATTTTAAAAATATGTGATTAATTTCATTACAAATTAATAATCAAGAAATATGAAGTAGAAATAAGTGAATCAAACCAATGTTAGTCAGTAGTGGTGACCTCGAGCTTAGTGACCTCGAGACGGACTAAGAGCAATAAAGTAAGAACAATAAATGGAAATGCTAGTAAAGGACAATTCTGATGAACAGTAAGAGAGAAAAGTAGGATAGTATATTCTTGCCAATGATGAGATGATCTTACAAATGATTGGGGGTCGCCTTTATTTAATAGGGGAACCCAAAATAAGGTATATTTATATTCAGTAAGGAATATTCTTGATACAGTTATCGTACAATCCTATTCCAGGATTTGCGCCATGATCTTAAAGACGTGGCAGGAATCTGACTCATTCTGTTACAAATCCACAACGATAGAATTTCGGGGTCGAGCATGTTTGACTTCAGTATTCCTCGCACTCTTATCTTCGAGCATTGCATTCCATCCTCGAGCTTGAGTCTAGTCCGTCCACCTCGAACTCGAGCTTACTTGAACTTGGACCTAAGGCGATCCCTCGAAGCTTGGGAAATCGGTCGTGCCTGTTTTCGACCGCATACAGGTACATATCATGGGAGATCGACAAAACATATATTTTTATTTTTAGATAAAAAAAATAATTTAATTTGAACTTTCTATTTTATTCCTTAATGGTACACTCTTTATCCACGTAAATGTTATAATTTTAAATTGGTGACGGTCAAACAGGAAAACATAAAATGAAATTGACCACTAAGAAAATAACATAAGAAGTGATAAATAAAACACGTGAAATTATTTATAGTTTTTTTTTTTCTATTCCTCTCGTATATAGTCAAATAGTGTTTGTTTTGTCGGAGATGACTGCGAAACACAATGACGATATTTAACAAATAGGAGTAATGTTTTTAGTCACACTTTTTAATATTCGAATGAAAATAATTCAACAGTTAATAGTTACCACACGCGACTTTTGTCCAACTAATATAAAAATATAATTTATAACTAAAGATTGGAAATTTTGTATTCCCCATTTAGGAAATATTTGCATCTGGTCCCAAACTAGTTGTCATTGGGAAACTATAGACTCTTTCTAATTGTGAATTTCTAGTTATCACACGCACTTCAATCCTCGGAAATCACGTAGCTAATGATGACCAGAGGTACATAATACAAAGATCCTATTGTCTTATCCCCAAACTTTACAACTATTATTCTATCATGTAGTACATACCATATTATATCAATATTAGAATATTTTTTTATGGTATAATTTTACTCAAAATAATACCTTAAATGGTGAAATAAGATTTAAAAATTGGTTTAGGTAACTTTCAGCAAGTGTTGGTCGAATTTTGGACAAAATGATGGTCTCGACTCTAGAGTACATAGTGATATTGTGACAGCTTTTCATTTATAAAACATAGTTATTCCGCTTATTTCATAATTAAACCATTTTACTGGCCATTTCTTTCACATTTTCGTAGGATATACTTAGTGGCGTTTGGACATAAGAATTGTAAAATTTTAAAAAAAAGTAAAACAAAATTAAAGTGAAAATAGTATTTAAAAATTAGATTGTGTTTAGACATGAGTATAATTTTGGGTTGTGAGTGAAAATTTTGCAAAATAGTTTTTTGGAGCTTTTCAATTTTCAAAAAATTCCAAAATTCATGTTCAAGTGAAAATTGAAAATTTTATGACCAAATACTGATTTCAAAGAAAAGTAATTTATAAAAATAAAAATCTTATGTCCGAACGGGCTCTTAATACTTGTCATTTTGTTTAAAGCAACATACAGTTGGAACCAAATTTCTATCTCTTATGCAAATTGAGTACTATTTCTCAAAGATTAACGCCATGATTTCACTTTAAACGATATTTATATAATTATATTCTTTATATTTAATAATTTTTTTAACTTAAACTTCTTCTTCTACTCTAATAGCATGCCCTTATAGTTATAAAAATATCAAAAAATATTTGAAATCACAAGTTCTGATTGTTTTATTTTATTATGTGTCAGAAGTTAAATTTTTTCCTCAAATTTCGTGGTTTCCTCTAACTAAATTTCGATTTTTTTTTAAATAAAAAAAGTGCTTAAAACCCAATATTTTCTAAATTTTCAAAAACGAAAAACTTCAAACAAATTGCAAATCCCACCTAGATTTTTGATAATTGATTTTATTTTTGGAGGTAGAAATAGCAGTGCATCTTGTTAAGCAGGCGCTGGGACCAAGACGATACTG